TAAAGCCGATACTCTGACTTCTTACAAGACACAGCTGGTTGAGCTCCTCCAGTCAGGACAGGAGGCTCTGCTTTGCACACAGGGTGGTGGGAGTGTGGAACAAGCTGCCCTGCCGTGCTGTTAAAGCCAATACCCTGACTTCTCTCTAGAAACTCCCAAACAGGACGGGTGGGCTGCATGGCCCCCTCTATCTCATGACCTTTCAAATGTTCTTAAAAATGAATATTTTTGACCATACGAAGAAGCCAAAGTGAGTCAGATTTGGGGGTTGTCTGGGCCGTGGCGGGGCTTGTTCACTCCCAGGCCCGAGGCAGGAGAGTACACCTGCGCTGCAGGGCCAATGGAGCGTGTTTGTCCACAGAGCGTCTGATACCGGTCCTCTCCCTCTGCTCTCAGGACTCCTTAATGTTGGGGGCGGTGGGCTACAACAACTGGCAAGGCTCCGTCAGCGAAATCTCCCCCGGTCTGTCCGAGACCCCTGTCATCCCGGTGAATGTGTCCGAAGACTCTTACCTGGGTGAGTCAGAGACGAACAGCCCCCCCCAGGGGCAGGCGGGTCGTACCAGCAGGCATTGCGGCTCCCGGAGGAGCTCCCGGTCCGGATCCGCTCCAGGTTTTACCAGCTGCCGGCTCCCCCGCAGGGCCCGGAGGCGTCAGTGTCATCCGACCCACTGTTCCCACGGGCCTCTGTGAAAACCTGGACCGGATCGGGGGGCCCGGCTTCTGGGTAAGCCCGGCTGGACAGACCCGCGGGAGCTTCCGGCCGCTGCCCTCTGCAGGAAGCGTCATCATCATCGCCCGCGAGCGGCCTGAGAGGTGTGTGAGAGCGCCCGGCGCCCCCTGGCGTCTCTGACCCGCCCCGCGGTTTTCTCTCCCGCCCAGGCTACGCGCTGGCCCGCGGGCTCAGGGGTCCCTTCTCCCTGCTGGCGGCGGGGGCTCCCCGCGCCGAACACCGGGGCACCGTCCTGCTCTTCCGGAAGTCCGAAAGCAGCACCCGCTGGGAGGAGGCGTTCCGGCTGTCGGGGCAACAGGTAGAGTAGGGCCGCCGGTCCCAGGACCCCTCAGTCACCGCACCCGGAGTGCCTGAGCCCTCAGCCTAGCCAGCAGGAGGGGCTACAGCGCCCTAGACGGAGACAGGAGTCAAGGGCGGGTCTGCGGGTGAGCTCCTGCTTCCTGACAGGAATCTGAGGTAGCGCAGAAGAAGCACCGGCAAGACCACTGAAAACACAAGAATGATCGCAGATCAGGGGTCGCTTTGGTAGCTTAACCATTCTATCTTCGATTATACGAAGTTAGAGTGATACACCACTATAAAGCTGTACTATCCGGAGAGCGATAAAGAGACAACGTGCCCACATCCTCCCCCGTGTGCTCTATAAGATAAGAGATCAGATCAGATCACTTTATGAGCCATATACAGTTTCTTGCATTAGGAATTCGTCTTTTCCCCGACCCCTATCATGCCCCCTGCTGGCAAGTAATAGGCAACAGCTCTCACTGACAGCGCCGCAGGCCACTGGGGTGGATGACTCTCTCTCTTCCCTGTTGGGCGGTTAGGGTAAGGGTTAGAATGAAGCTTCTTCAGAAGGGAACTCTGGGCATAGATTCAGACTGCAATGCCAATTTTGTCTAAGTGGGGGCCCCACCTCAGCCTGGCTCCAGTCCTGGCTCCAGTCCCATCAGCTGCAGGACTGCACGCGCCAGCGCATGTAGCCTTTACAGGACCTGTGCTCACAGGGCGTGGGGTTCTGTAGGTGTGTGGTTTCCTAGTTGAGAAACTCCCGGTTTCCTCTTCTTGCTGCAAGCTTCCTGTAGTTGCATTAGGCTCAGGGGTTCCTGCCAGCTTGGTTTCATGTTTCCGGTTCATGTTGTTGACACACGTAGACTCTGCAAATCCTCTCTGCAGCACTCTCCCCTGTTGCAAAAAACAATGAAGATCTTAATCTTCAGTTCACCCTTATCTAGCCTCACCAGGCTGAACTGTAGGAAACGTGCCCTGCAGTAGCCATCCATCCACCCATCCTCTAACTGCCCCTGCCAACTCGGGGGGCTGGGGGAGCTGGAGCGCGTCCCAGCAGTCCATCGCGGGACAGACACAGACACGCACACTCGCACCCGGGTCCATCTTCCCCGGAGACAATCCACCCACCAGCACAGTCTTTGGACTGTGCGAGGCAAACCGGAGCAGCCAGAGGAAATCCATGCGAACACAAAGACAACACGCAGACTCCCCACAGACAGAACCCCAGCAATTGAACCCAGGGCCCCAGAGCTGCGAGGCGGCAGCGATGATCGTCACAGCGCCATAAGAAGGGCTTTATTTGTCCTTGTTCGTGCTCCCCACTGCGGCTCCATGCTGTCCTCTGCTGCTGCCCATTTTACAGCATGCCTGCTCCCCTGTAGTTTCTCCCATAGTCCCTGTGAAAGTGATTCTCTGCTGCTGTTGTGGCTCTGGTCTCTGCTGCAACAGGGCTGCCTGACTGGCTGTCGGAAAACATAGAAACACGCTCCCCCTTTCCATCCTAGATCGGCTCCTACTTTGGAGGGGAGCTGTGCTCCCTGGATGTGGACTCAGACAACCAGACTGACTTTCTCCTGGTGGGGGCGCCACTGCACTATGAGGACCAGAGAGAGGGGATGGTGTTTGTGTACAAAGTGGCTGACGAGGTGAGGACAGCAGCTCACCAGAGAAGGCAGGAATAACCCGTTTACTAATGTATGATGTCGGAAAGGGCTCACTACATTATAGCTTATAGAAAAAACACCCATTTCAGTGCAATGCAGACTGACACAGTATATTGTAGAACAGTGTGATCTAATACAGTATGGAGCTCTGTGTGGAGATACCCTATAGTAGACTATAGACCAGTACAATATGTTAATACACAGAGTAGAGTTCACTAACAGACCAACAGTAATCCCTTAATCCTTCATGTTTAATAAACAGACAACCTCCTGTAACGTTGGATCTTAGCTGACCAGATGTCCAGAAATGAACAAATCGGGTATCCAAATCTTAGTTGGCCAGGTGGCCTGACCCTCTGCCTTCTTACACATGTTCAGGCTGTAGGTAACCTGCTTGTGTTGCAGACAAGAAGCACTTGATGGGAATAATAAGCGCACTGTACCCTGGGAATGCCTGCTAGAGTGAGAAACCGTGCTGCAGCTCCAGCCTTATTCTGATTGACCTGTTCCTGTTATTTTCTGGGCTCACGGCTCTCGAGTAGAGCCCTGGAAAGACAAAGTCAACAGTGAAGGAACCTGTTCTATTCCAATGGCTTCCTATGACCTGCAATCCATTTCTCTTAGCTCCATGGCTCATGTCTGGGGTCCTGGTGTCTATGGGCCATTCATCACGGTCACAATGCTGTTGTTGGAGCAGTCCAGGGATGTGTCCTCTCAGCGCAAGGGGAGGAATGTGCACTGACTCCCTGTCCCGCTCCATGGTCATGTGCCGTTACCTCTCCACACAGGGGTTCCTCTCCCCGGTTCAGAACATCAGCGGGGCGACCAGTTCGCCCTTCTCCCGGTTCGGCTCGGCCATGGCCTCTCTACAAGACCTCAATGGCGACGGGCTCGATGATGTGGCAGTGGGGGCGCCTCTAGAGAATGACCACCGGGGGGCTCTCTACATCTACCTGGGTGACAGAGAAGATGGAATCAAGGCTCAGTACAGCCAGGTAGAGAGAGTAACTAATTAACAGAGACTTACTGTACTGTACTTAATTTACAGTTAATACAGACACACTGACTGACTGGACACTCCAGTACATTAACACTGCACTGAGAGAGAGGGGTTCATACAGACACACTGACTGACTGGACACTCCAGT